AGATGATAGATAGATATAGAGATATAGATAGATGATAGATAGATAGATAGATAGATAGATAGATGATAGATAGACAGACAGATAGATGATAGATAGATAGATAAATAGATAGATAGATAGATGATAGATGATAGATAGATGATAGATAAATAGATAAATGATAGATAGGTAGATAGATAGGTAATAGGTAGGTGGATGGATGGATAGATAGATGAGAGAGATAGAGAGATATGAATAATAAGATTATTATAAATTATAAATGAATGAAAAATGAAATGTAGACACAGGCTGCCGAGATAGATAGGTAGGTAGGTAGGTAAGTAGGTAGGTAGGTACGTACATACATACATACATACATACATACATACAATAGAGATAGAGACAGATGTAAAGATATGTGTATATATAGATATAAACATACATAAACGCGTAAAACAAGGGTGTCCAATCTTGGGACCACTTTATTAAGACTCGTAGACTTCAACTCCCAGAATTCCCCCAGCCAGCCGTGCCTGGCTGGGTGGGGAATTCTGGGAGTTGAAGTCCACAAGTGGCCAAGGTTTGACACCCCCCCCCTCCACCCCCAATGTAGGATGTAAATGAAGTCGGTGTATAATGTAACGTCCATAGCAGGCTTTGCTGCAGTAGTCCCCTGTTTTTAGCATACCTCGAAGGCACGGCTCTCCCAACCTGAAAACGTTTCGCTACTTTGCTTTTGAATTCCTGGACAGGCCCCTCTTGCACCCCACCCCATCTGCCCCCAGGTAATCGGGCCGTTGCAGAACTGGATTCCCTTTCCTTCCCCCAAATCCCGCTTCCCCGATCCCTTCCGAAGGTCGTGCAGTCGCTTTCTGGAGGCTGAGATTTGCTTTGGCATGCGCTCCCTAGAAGTTCTGCGGCTGTTTGGCAGCCCCGTGATTTGATTAACCTTGGCAAGTGAGAAAAAGCAGGGATGTCATTGAGCAAACAGGTCAACAGTCATATTCACTATCAGATGGGAGGGTTTTTTTATTTTATTTTTTTAAAAAAGCTGTGTTTGTTTCCTTTCCACCTTTGTTTCCTAAAACTGGGTTGAAACCACTGGATTTTAGCTGGGCGCGGACACCCAGCGTCTCTGCATTCACGACAGTCCACTTAATGACCTTCCGAAGCTACGACAGCACTGAGAAAAGTGACTTACGACTGTTTTCATTTTCGTGACTGTTGGAGCCTCCCCGTCGTCGGGTGATCAAAATTCAGGTGCTCACATTTACGACGGTCGCAGGGTCACGTGATTCCCCTCCCCTCTGGTGATCCGTCCGACAAAGTCAACGAGGAAGCCAGATTCCCTTAACGACCGTGTCGCTAACTTAACTGCAGCGGTACAAGAGAAGTTGTAAAATGGGGCAGGACTCACTTTAACGACTGTTACGGTTAGCAACGGAAATTTTGATTTCAACCGTGGTTCCTCCGGTAGTAAATCTCATTTTTCTTCTTTTTTTCTTTTTCCCCTTAGGACGGAGAGGTTAGCCCGGGAAATTATGAAAGCCATGGGGGGCCACCACATTGTGGCTCTCTGCGTCCTGAAGGGAGGCTACAAATTTTTTGCCGATTTGCTGGATTATATTAAAGCCCTGAATCGGAACAGCGACAAGTCCATTCCGATGACGGTGGACTTCATCCGCCTGAAGAGCTACTGCGTAAGTCCGGTCTGTTGGAGAACGCGCTTTTTGAATTCCCGTCTTATTGCCCGCTAGAATTCGGAGCCTGCAGGAATACTCCTAGAATAGTCAGGCCTTTCAGTAACGTGATTGCACTTGTATACTGTTGCTCTTTAATTCCAGTGTTAAAATAGGACAAGCCGAATATATTAATA